GAGCGTACTGTTATTACGATCAAGCTGAAATGTTGAGTGAAGGTGATCAGGAAATCTATCCGCAAGTTCTAAATGATAAAAAAGTTTTTGAAATGTTTTATGTGAGTATGATCCCGTTTAAAGACGCCCAAGAAAAATTGTCTGAATTTAAGGAAAAGCGATTGTCAGTCACCAGGAGAAAGATCGCTGTGACCTGGGGGCGGGGCCTGTGTGTAGGAAGGAGGAGGCGCAGGTCATTGGAACGAATGCTTCTTATACATTTTGCAAAATTAAAAGAAAAAAACATGCCGTGACCTGGGGGCGGGGCCTGTGTGTGGGAAGGTGGAGGCGCAGGTCATTGGAATGAATACTTCACATACATTTTGCAAAATTAAAAGAAAAAAACGTTTAACCAAATCGTGATAAGTAAAAAACAAACAAACCTGTTGTTGTTGTTGTTTTAATTTAAATTTTTAGCACTTTGTTTAATTGGACTCCGTAGTGAGCGTACTGTTATTACGATCAAGCTGAAATGTCGAGTGAAGGTGATCAGGAAATCCATGCGCAAGTTCTAAATGATAAAAATTGTTTTGAAATGTTTTATGTGAGTATGTTCGCATTTAAAGATGCCCAAGAAAAATTGTCTGAATGAAAACACCTTTTAGCATCTCTGTCCCACAGTCGCTCTTTCCATTGCATATATTTGGTCTAATTTAGGCTAATGTCACTGATTTTTAAATTTGATCTTTTAAGGCCAATATTGAACAGTATTGGTGCCACATGGTTAATTTTAAAGAAAGCTATTTTCTCCTGTTTTTTTCTTAATTGTTGAAATAATATTAATTTCCAGCATGTCACATACAATTGTAGTCCAACTTATGCACCATAGCTCCCTCCCCAGCATCCAGTTATGGGTTACAAGCTTGCCCTCTAGTGGGCATGAGATAATACTTCCTTTCCTTGAAAGATGATCGCTGCACAAGACAAAATTCATAATGATAAAATTTACCTTTCAGGGTAGTCTTTTTAAAACATTTTTAATTTATTATTTATT